CACTTTATTTCGGAAATGGTGATTTTTATATTTCTGGACAATTATTCACTTTACGAACTCAATTACCAAAAAATCCAAGTATTTCTTATACTCTCAATTGTAATAATAAAATCTCTAAAATTACTCGAGAATGGCAAGTTCCTATTAATGGTAAATCTAATATAATTTGGCAATATAAGTCTCCATATATTAGTGGAACTACAGTCGGAAAAGCAACTTTAATCTTTGATGCATTCATTGCAAGATTTTATATATTACAAGATTTTGGTGTGGTCTTGATTTCAACTGAATCTATTTTAAATACTGACAGTGCTCTTAAATATCGCTTTCTGTCTGACATAGTTGTTGGATTTAGATTGCTTGCAGATAAAGGTATTGAAAAAGTAAGTTGAATTACAAATATTAAAGCTATATATGTATTTACATACATATAAAATACTAAAAAAATATTTAAAAAATATTTGTATTAGATTATTTTAGATTTAAGTAATAATGGTGGTGGCGATGTCTTTGTTGCACACTATATAAATAAGCTCTTATTTCCTAATATACAAAGTTTTCCATTGGATATGAAGGTTAATAATATCTCTATGCCATTCATAGAAGAAGTGTCAAAGCTTAAAAGTCAAGTTGGGAGTCTATTTCACTATAAAACGTTTATTTCTACAGGCAAATCATTTAATAGTGTTATGGATTTTATTGGAAATAATACATATACTCGTGGTGGTATACAGCTTAAATTCACATCAAAAGCATTTCTTAATGATACATCAATTTATGGTGGAACTTTAGAACTTTCAACACCTCCAAAACTTCCTTGGACTGAAAAAGATATTATAATTTTGACAAATGGATTATGTGAATCATCATGTTCAATTATAACTCAACGGTTAGCAGAGATTAATGTTCCAACCATATCAGTTGGTGGATTTCCAAATACTCAATTTTCTTTTGCTTCATTTAGCGGCGGTGCCTCATTTTCTACTGATTCGATTGCATATTACCTTGGAAAACTTAAAAATCTTGATAATTCTTTAATTTCTAGTTTATCTCTTCCTTCGAATTTAACTTTAGATTTTACCATGGCTGAAGCTTATAGTATTAAGAATCCAAATGAAGTTTTGGATTTTTCCTTTAGACCAGCAGACTATCAATTATATTACGACGAACGAAGTGCTAGAGATCCAAGTTATTTATGGTTACAGGCTGCAAAATATATTGGAAAATAATTATAACAGTATAATCGAAATTTATTATGTCTAGTGTTAACACTTTCTTTAGTCGCATTGAAAATATCTATAAATTATGATAACATAATAATTATTATCATACATTCGCTTAAATTTATCTATTTATATTTATTATTCCAAAATTTTGTTATGTCTGACACTTATTCTAAAATTTATGGTTTTATATTATAAATATGCAAAATTAAAATTCTAGCTTCGAGCCAATAAAATGGTCTTTTATTACTGTATTAACAATAGCGTAACGTATTGTGATTTAAACATTTTTAAAAAGAATTCCAAATGCCCAAGTGAGTAAAGTAACAAAAAACCGTAAGATCGAATTCATATACAAGCCAAAATACTTAATTAGATATCCTGCTATTTTTACATCTTAAACAGTTAAATACTTGAAGTTAATTTGTTAAAAACTATCTTTTCATTAAACTTTCAAAATCAAGATGATAACAAAGTTACAAATATCTGTTCTTTCCGAGCTTGATTCTGAAGCATATCCTGTAATGTGGTGGCCTTTACAAAATGCTACTTCCGATTTTAAGTGAAACAGCACGAAAATTTCTTACAATTTTTGCAACAAGCATTAAGTGAACTCGTATTTTCAGACACAGGAAATATTATGAATGCAAAGAGAATATTATTAAATCCAAAATAACTCGGAAAATAATATTTCTAAAACATAATATAAATTAAATTCATTATTCTTAATTCTTAGGACAAATATAAGATTGCTTTAATAGATATAAACAATGAGTTATGTAATATTTACATAAAATAGTACAATCGATAATTTATTGTCGCGGCTGAAGCTGGAAATAGATACCTCGATTAAAATATAAATCCTGCCCAAAAAATCCACTTATATAAAAACTAACCCTAACCTAATTATTAAAAAAAAAAAAAAAATGCACCCAGGAATTTTTGAAAATTTCATATTAAAATATTTAAATTTTTTTCCAGCTTCAGCCGTGACATTTAACGTTACAATAAATTTTTTTTTTTTTTTTTTATGATATATATTTAAAAACTCGTTGAAAATTCGAATGTTCGGTCAAAGTTTTTCATCGCCGTTTGAAATTCTAGTATTTTGACCAAACAATGTTCAAAACTCATCGATTCCAATCATTAATGGGGGTTTTAAATTGGATACGTGTAAAATTAAAATTCTCGTCAAATGCTTCTACTGATGTCTTCAATTTTTCAGGATCGATTTGATTATTGCCAATATTTAAAGAAGTTAGAGTATTGTTCTCACATAAAGCCGTTGCCATCGCTTTTCCCCCTTCTGAGCCAATACTATTATTCCAAAGAATTAAAGAAGTTAGAGCAGTATTCTTACATATAGCCTCTGCTAATTTTTTTCCTCCTTCAAAACCAATGCGATTATTACGAAGATTTAATGAAGCAAGAGTTGTGTTTTTGCATAGTGCATCTGCTAACGCTTTCGCTCCTTCAGTACCAAGATGATTATAACAAATATTCAAAGAAGTTAGAGTAGAGTTCTTGCATAAAGCCTTTGCTAACGCATTCCCCCCTTCAGAGCCAATATTATTATAACCAAGATTCAAAGAGGTCAGAGTCGTATTCTTGCATGAAGCCTCTACTTCTTCAAAACCA